AATTCACAAGCTATCCTATGTTTAGAATAAAACATTTTGAATCTGCGCTGAAATAACTCCACTCGGATTAAATCCGTTTCCACAAAACTGACAACTTGTCTTAAGCGTCACCTTTCCTTCGACATCGCCGATATCTCCGCAGTACAGCACCCGCCATTGCCCACTCCCGCCCCCACGGCAGCGCGACGTCTGCAGCGGGCAGAGAGCGGTCGCTCCCGGAAGCACGCGGGGGCGGCGGGGGCGGCGCCCGCCCCCGCCCACAGAGGTCAGCCGCGCGGGCGGCGGGCGGCGGGCGGCGGGCGTGTCCGCGAAGGCGGCGGTGGCCCCGCGGCGCGGCGCTCCACATCGCCCTGGCCACTCGCCAGCTGGGCATCGACCTCTGGCGAAACCGCCGCAGCCTCCACAGCACGGGTGGGCGTCGGCCGCGGCCACACGCGCCGCCCCGCGCTCCGCATGACGCATGGGGAGAAATGCAAATGCAAAGAGCGCAGGGATGTGTGTTTGTGTGTGTCTGTGTGTGTGTGTGTGTCTGTGTGTGTGTGTGTGAGAGAGAGAGAGAGAGAGAGAGAGAGAGAGAGAGAGAGAGAGACTATGTTTGTTTGTGTGTGTGTGACTGTGTGTCTTTGGGTGTTTGTGGGTGTATGTATTTGTATCCGTATTCGTGTGTATTTATATCTGTTTGTGCGTGTCTGTTTCTGTTTGTATTTATGTGTGTTTGTGTCTGTGTGTTTGCAATAGTGTATGTTTATGTTTGTGTATGTGTTTATGAATGTGTGTGGGGGTTTTGAAAAGCAGAACTGATTGAGAGAATACGAAAAAGCCAATGCTTTGCCTTGCCAATGCCAATGCCTTGCTTGTTTACAGTGTTTCTCCGCCGAGTTTACATTTCTTAATATTTTCGAAATATATCGAGGAAAGCAGAAGGGCCTCTTTCGTTAATATTTGAAGCTTGATAAATCAGCTCTAAGAAGTATATTGTCAAATCCATTGTAACATTCTTCAGTATTAGTGGATGAGACTGATATTTTAAAAATTCTGTTACTGAAATATTTATGACAATTACTTCTCAAAAGTGACCGTATTCTCGTGAAATTTTACTCATATTGCGATGTGCTCTTTGAATGTCTTTAGAAAAGCAATGCAAATGAAGGTAATGTTTAAAATTTAAAAGTGCCTGCTAACTGTAACTCTGAAGAACTCAATTCGTTTACAATCTTTCACGTTCTTAATTCCCTAGAAAATATACGAAAGCGAGTGATCTCGTATGTAAGCAAGTTGTTCGTGTCCCCAAAATTTATTTTTAAACGTATAATTATTGCGTTATCTCAACTTTACGTAATTCAGCTACAACCTGACATTATAGCCAATATTAATTATCTTAAAAAGTATTAAGCGAAAATGCATTTTCTAAAATCATGGTAATTTACTATAAATTCTTTACAAATGCCTATTTTGAAGACTTTCTCTCACAAAAATTGATATACTGTCTGTAACCACTGCGTACAAGTTGAATTTTATAGCATAATATCCATCACCCGAAACGTTTCACTCTGTGGACCCTTTCACTGTTACTCACGATGTACACTTTTTCACTTAGTATGCCTGTCGGGTCCTATGTCTCTGAGTATGACATAAGCCCCAACCTTGTTTTTTCGATGTATTCCTTATTCGTAAGAGCGGCGGAGACTGCTTCGTAAGACATGAGTTAGAAACTCGCGTGTCTAGACACTTCGTAAAGAGTACTTACAAACCTTGAAAGAGGATAACAGCACCCGGCGTTTTTTCTTCCAATTCCGATGTCATTCCGATTTAATTCTCCGCCGGTTGAGGTGCGTCCTGCTTGGTCCAACGTCTCGGGATTACGGGAGTGCCGCGTGTCGTGAGGCCTTCACCGCGGAAGGCACAGGCGGTCAGGTGCAGGGGGGCAGGGGGTTAATTTCATAACCCCTTCCGAAGACGCAGCCGTCCCCGTCCGTGATCCATCGCCGACACGGGTTTGGTTTTACGCAGGGGCGGGAGGACGCACACCGTCAGTCAGGCTCGCAGGTGCGGTCGAGGAGAGGAGACGGACACGACGAGCTCAAAGGCGAGGGAAGTAGCTAAGCGGTGTAATGGGAGGCCGCGGTGATAGTAGATTACATTGTGTATTTTAAATGGTATCCATACTCACCTACGTACCTTCTGTGAAATTATGTGACCCTTATCTCCGCACATTTAAATCTCTCTCTTCCTGTTTGTCTGTCAAGTTCGAAATATATTCCCATTTTTAAGAAGTACATCTGCATTTCATCTTTATTCTCATCTTTACCTTCCACTCATCTGCTCTAGTATGTTTTTCACTTCTCAATCCGTAATTTATCAATTTTATTCCTCTTGTATATCCTGCTATTATCTTCTCCTTGAACCATAGTTTTCTATGTCTATCTCTTCTCATTCAAACTCTCATCATACCATAGACGGAAGATTTCCCCTGTGATCGTTCTAATGCTTCGTTCCATCTTCTAATTTCCCTCAGACAACGCCATCCCCAACAACACACGTTCGCCTTCACTGCCTGAACCCTCTTACTCAACCACTTGTTCCAACGCCTCCATTATCACCCCCGTCCCCCTCCGTCCCGCTTCATTTAGAGCGCGATCGGCCCTAACAAATCGCCTGCCCCGCCAGCGGCCCCGGCGGCGGCGGCAGCGTTCTACATAAATTGCCATTCCCTGACGCGAAAATTGGCGAAGTCTTCCCAAATACGCCGCGAACGCGCGCCACGCTCGCGCGCGCGTCGGCGATCCGACCTCAGGGCGAACGACCCGCCGCCTCCGGCCATCCACCATTGGCCACCGCCACGACCGCCCCCCGCTGCCAGACGCCCCGCCGCCCAGCTTTCCTGTTGTCACCCCCAAATCAAGCGCAGCGGCTGCCGACCGCCCCCCATTGCCACCCCGCCGTAACATGCACACCACCTCGCTTATCACCATCACTCTTCCTATCACCACAGTCACCACCGACGACGCACCGCCCACCACCTTTGCGGCGATACCATCGGGTGGAATGCAATGCAGTTGGGTAATTACAGGCGGTGCACGCAAGCCCACGCCGACTCCGTTTTCTCTGCCCGCGGCGCGCCTCCGTCAAATCATTGGCGGCGCGGCGAAACGAAACTCGGGGCTGCTCCTCGCGCGGTCGTGCGCGGCGCGCTGTCAGCACCCGGGCACCCTCCGTTGGGCAACTCCGCTCCCCCCCGCCCCGCTCGCCCCGCCCCGGCCCGCGGCCCCGCCCTCGCGCCTCGCCTGCCCCCGTCTTTCACTCAACCTACCTCGCCACGATCCAGTCCCACCTCGCCTTCGATCCGCCACCACCTCCTCCCCCCCACGCTTCGCCTCACACGCCCCGCTTCGCACCCCTTGTGCACGTCAACGGCCGTTGGCGCACACGCGCTTGCGATGTACGACGGATGGGCAACCGCGGCGCGGCGGCGTTCACCCGATCCCGCGCCGCTTCACACCTCCGGCGCCGCGCAGTGGCGGAGGCGATTATTTGCCTTTGACGTTCTTGCTTTAGGTCTGCTCATGTAAATTTCATTTCCCTGCTGAAAACATTTTTCCTTCTTTTAAGAGTCATGGCGACCCTGTGCCTTACTTTTAGGGCCATAAGAGTAGTGAAAACCACAAAGTAATATATTACTTTAGTTATAATTTCCGAAAGGGAGTTTGCAAACGAAAAGACACTAATAAGGAAGTAGGAGAAACACTTGAACGGATAAACCAATGTTAGTGAACGAGCAAATGCTCGAAACGAATCAAAGAGGCGATCTTCCAAAGGTAAACGCAGGACTACGGCAAAGAGAAGAGTCATTCAATACAGCATACGTTTTCTGGAAACGGCGAGGGAAATTGCTGGGATGCTCTGCGTAGTTTTGGCGGACGCAGGCGCCGCAAGAGCTGCTGCCTTGCACATCGTTTGGCGGCGTGCGCCTGATGAATGTCCGTTTAGGCCGCCGCGTGCGGGCCGCTGCGCCGGGGAAGGCGTGGCAGTGGCGGGCGTGGGGGGGGGGGCGGCAGAGGGGCAAGAGGGGACGCCCGCCGCTGCCGCCTCCAGAATGAAAGCACAGGAGTGTGGCCCGCGCCTAGACCGTCGGTCGCCTCGGCCGGAAGTGGACCTATCCGCTACGGCATGAGTTGGCGACGGAAAGCCGAGTGGAAAGAATGGATAAATGAGTGTGGGCGAACATGCTCGCTTTCCTTAAGCGCCATTTCTATTTTTGAGCCATGCAAGGAGGTAGAGATGAAAGTGTAAAATGAACTGAGTAGTGTAAAGTGTGACGATAATTCACGAATTTGAATTTTTCAGCCACGTTCTCCACGGCTCGTGTGAAGTTTCTGAAGCGACGAACACGTGTATAAAATGTCCTTTACGCTCAAATACTTATCAATAACTGTGTATAAAAATGCACGTACGTTGGATATTGTAATCTTTCTCGTAGTTTATTTTTTTCGTTTCCTTTTTCCTTTCTTGAGTTCAATTTTTTGTTGTGACCTCGTGAGAATCTCTCACGCAAAGTACGAGTTTCCACGTTCTGTGAATACGAAATGAGGGTGATATTGCTGAATGCTGATGATACCACCATTCTAAGGTTATTTATGCAGTTCTTACATAGTCGAATATAATGATTTTTAATATATTTATGTTCAGCTTGTTAATTATATATTATATTATAATATAATATATTATGTTATAATATATTATATTATGTTATATTATAATATATTATATTATGTTATATTATAATATATTATATTATGTAATATTATAATATATTATATTATATTAACAGATATTGTTACTATTAATTACTTCATGACAATTGTATTAAAGTGGTATATTTTATGAAATTCTCATCTAAGTGAACAAATTTCTTTTCTTCGTCTCATCCATTTTATGGGCTTTTGCTGCACGTCTTCGCTGCATTTGCAACGCGTGTGTAACGCAACGCTTTCTGTTCACAGAGCGTGGTGATGCTGATGTTCCGGGAGGAGAAGAGCCCCGAGGACGAGATCAAGGCCTGGCAGTTCTGGCACGGCCGACAGCACAGCGTCAAGCAGCGCATCCTCGACGCGGGTGAGTCCAGCCTCGCCTTCACAAACACGCACGCACACAAACCCATTTATATAGAAGCACACAACCCACACAAGTACGTACAACCACAAGCGCATACGCACGTAATTACACACGTACACATGCTCACGCGTACACGGACACAAGATCACACGCATTCATAAGCATGCACACACGCATATGTACATACACCTATGTATGTATATGAACATGCACACACGCACTTCAACATGAACAAGCGCTCGCTCAAATGACTTCCCGAGCGTGTGGACGCCTAGGCCTGCGGCGAATTCGCCTCACTTTTCCTCTCGCTCCTTTCCTTCTCCGAGCCGGCTTTCCCTTTCTGTCCTGTTCGTCTTTTTCTCCACTTTCGCTCGCCGCCCCGAGCCGCGTGCCTCTCCGGAATCGATCATTCCGCCGGGCGTCGGATGTTGGTCACGGTGACTGACCCGGCTTGGTCAGTTATGATTGCATTTAAGCCGACTCGATCATGAAGTACGGCCTTGGCCCTGTACCATTGTTTGTAAACAGAACGATGTTACGCCATTGTAATTGCTCACGATCCGATTTCATGGCTGCTATATAAGGACGGACATTGCCCACACCTTCAGGTATTCACGTGTTATGCTTATCTGAGTGGAGTATGTGTATTTAACCTATTGCCACGATTAAACACCTGGTAGTTCGAAAACATAAAACCTAACATTCTCAGAAAAAATAGTATTTGAGACTAAGGTCATCGTATCGTTAGTGTAAGCGTGTCTCTTTTTTGTTTTGGCCTGTATTTAACCGATTACGGTATCTTTAAGAAAAGTCGAAATATCACATGCCAAGCGTAGTTGTGTTTTGATAACATAATAAATGCAAAATAATGTGCATGTCTCATTTGCTAGCGTGCTGCGAAATATTTCATTGGTCAAAAAGAAACAAGTTAGAATCTGCCAAGACAAGTCTGTTGAGAAGTTAGGAGAGTGGTCCTATTCAGCGACCAGCTGAATCATCTGCATCGAGCTCTACTCGGACGTCCGTTATCGCAACCGTCGTTTAGAAACGGTTCCCGTCGTGGACTGGCAGACCCACTCGAGTCTCCGATAAGTCGAGGAGGGTTTCCGTGAAATGTACAGCGACGTGTGCTTGGAAGTCGCGTGAAGCCGATACGGCCCCGACGCAGCGACCTAATCGGAACAGCCGCCCCAGGACGGCCGGGCGACATCGACGCCGTCGCCTGGACGCCGCTGAGTGCTGCAATAGCTTCGCTTGATACGAATGTTACGAGCGCCGGACAAACCGTTCGCGAACCTCGAAATCGCCGGTCGGCGATTCGGAGAGAAAACTGGGTCAGGGCTTGTCCGAAAACCCACCTCATTTAAATGCAGACACAGCGATGCTAAAAGAGTACTAAACTAGAATAACAGTTTCTTGTCTTCGAAGATTTAAAATAACTGTACAACGTGTTTCTGAATGTCCCTTATTTATCTTCCATCTGGAACTTTCAGATTTCTTCCTAATCACTTCCGAATTGCGTGGACAGATTTCTCCAACGTTAAACAGCAATCGTTTATAGCAATAGTGTAAAAAGTTGGACAAGACGAATATAAAATAAAAGAACGGAGTTGCGAGGAACTTCCAATGAGGTCCGGAGAAATCAAGGGAGAAAGTTTCTGTGCGTGTAATTTATTTTCTCAACGCTGCATATCGCTTGGCAAACATGAAAAATCAACGAAATAAAAAAATGAACTGTCAGTTGTGTCATTTTCTGAGTGTTTTAGCTCCGATTACATCCATGTTACGTTCTCCCTTGCAAATATGTTGCCACGCGGCTGTTATTTTCATTGCTAGAACCTATTAGAATTCACAGTTTAGTTAGTAATTAACTTCAGCCGTTTTACAAATGTTTATATTCTAGGTGTCAATATTTATAAACGACCATTATGTATATAGTGTTATTATTTCGTTAACGAAAGCATACAAAAAATATTTTTATAATTTTCAGCTAGATCCTAAAAGTAACATTTTCTCTTGAATATGTAGTGGACAATAAAATAGGGCAACGTACGTTTTGATAAATTCACATATCGTAAGCTGCCGAATTCCAAAGCTGTGATCTGTTTTAATAACACGATCTAATCGCGAACTATATCCAATATGGTTCACTCAATGTCGGTATCTCCTCTCAATTAACATGCGTTGGGCTGGCAGCTCTTCGCGTCCCTGGGTTTCTCTCCCCCCGCTCTTTCGTCTCGCCTATCACAGCACAACATCTCCTAAACGGCGGTGATGGATCAGGAAGGCAAACAATGCGAAGAGCCAGCTGGAAACTCGGCCAGGTCGGAGGCAGAGGCGAAGGGAAAAAATAACCTGACCCATCGGCAAGGAACGCGCGTGAGCTGAAATAAAAACTGCCTTTGGAGTTGACCTTTTTTTTGGAAGTAAAGTGAGTTCAAATGCCCTACTTAGGCCGAATACTATCTCGCAGATTAATCATTCTGCCCCTAAACGGGGTAATGTGTCCGTTTTCTTCTTTTTCAGGGAAAAAGGTGCGGAAGAAATAGGTGGTGAAGAATTTGAGGAGGTTCGTTTGAAAAAAGTACAGCACATTCTCACACATGATCTAGTAACTAAAATGCACAAATTAAATGTGTATGAATTATGCATTAATTAAACATTCTTACAAAATCTTACTACATTATATACCACATTAATAATTTGTTTGAATTTTAGTGACAGTTGAAACAATTTCGTTTAATGATTTACTATAATTTACTTTGCAACTTTAATTTTTTTCCTGACTGTGTTTTCCCCCAAATTCTCATTATATTGGAAGGGAATATAAGGAGGACTGGAGGAGTTTGTATGAGCATAGTCACATGTTTTTCTTAAGTCTTATATTTTAAAATATTATAACCTAACAAGTGCAATATACATTTTATTTGCCTCTGTTTTAGAAATAAGGACGGGCAAAAAGCAAACTCAGAACTTGAAAAATTTGAAAATAACAGCGATAACTTAAATTATTTCGTAATTCAAACTATTTATTCTCACTATTATAACTATTTCAAAACCAATCGATCAATTGATTGAAAATTTAGCAAAAACTCAGTGCGGAATCCACGAAAAAGATGCAATATTTATCCATGGCACGTGCAGACCCCTTTCATCAGAAATGTGGCATTCGTCTTGACTTAGACACCACACACATCAGTGCAGATCAGTTGCCGCCACAACACCGCTGCCGCTGCCGCCACCTCCACCACCTCTGCCTCCACTATCAAAACCGCCATAACTGCCGCCACCGTCACCACCACTGCCACCACTATTACCGACCAATATCACAACCACTAGCACCGCCATTATCGCTGCCACCGCTGCCACCGCTGCCACAACCACCGCCGCAAACACCACCGCTGCAACCACCGGCTCCACAACCACCACCGTCGCAACCACCAAAGCCTCAACCATTACTACTACTACTACTACTACTACTACTACTACTACTACTACTACTACTACTACTACCACCCTACTACTACTAACTACTACTACTACTACTGAACTACTACTACCGACCTACTGTATACTACTACTACTCTATCTACTTACTTACTACTGGACTACTACTATACTAATACTACTACACGAGAACTACTACTCTGACCTGACCTACTACTATACTACATACTACTTTACTCACTACTATATACTACTTACTACATAGTACTACTACTGATCTACTCTAAACTACTAACTACTACTACTCTATCTTATATCACACATACTATTTACTACTACTGATACTACGTACTACTAATACTACTTCTATCTAATACTACTACTACTACACACTACTACTTCTACCCTACTACTACTATACTACTATTAATTACTGACTTCTAATACTACTACTACTCCTACTATACTAATAACTACTACTACTAATACTACTACTACCACCTCTAACACCACCACTACTACCACCACCACCAGTACCGCCCCCTCCTTCGTCGCCGCCGCGGCGGCTGCTGCGGCTGCCGTCATTAGTTGCCGTCTGATCGGCCACGCGTAATCAGATAGCGCCTGCCAGAGCGCATTGAAAAACTGCTGCGAGAGCGCCCTCTCGCGCACTTCCGCTGCGAAGGTGAAAAATGGGGCATCGGCTACAACAAATGAACAAAGGCATCCTTCTAATTCACGTGCGCGCGCGCGCCTGAGCTCTAAATCGATGTGGATCTCAGAGTTCGATAGTGTAGATATCGCAGCACCAAAGTTCTTTCCCTGCTTGATGAGAATCGTGGAGTGTATAGAAATGCGTGTTAATGTACGTGTGTTTTCTTATCAAATGAATGTTTCTCATCGAAACCCGCCCCGGCGCAGTTATGATTGTCTCACACCTGGTGCGTAATATTTCTAGATACCAATATTCTTTAAGCAAGTTGTTCCTGTTAATAATTACATTTCACGTAATTAGTTCATTAATTTTTTTCGCTCTCGGGGCTTCCTGAGACCATCTGTTTTAGTCATAATTTTTGTGACTTATAAAAATGAGTAATTATTCTTTGTTAAATCTGATAACCATGCCCGTCTATTTTTTGTGTAATAATAAACAAATGTAAATGTGTCAATTTTTGTGTAACGTCATCTTTATTGGGCTAGAAAACTGTATGGTCTTTATACAAGCTCAAATGTCACAATAAATTAACTGTGGGCATTAATGTTATTAATTCACGTTCATTGAGAATCTCCCCTGTTGCTTTGTAAACACTTCATGTTTCCTTCCCTTTTCAATGCCCAAAACAGACAATCACTGACATACAAATTCATGACCCCCATTATCGTCCTGGAAACTCTCGGCGAGGGGTGGCGGTGTTGACAGGCAGCAGTGACGGACAGAAGACCGTGGATGGATAGGGGGCCGCCACAGCATCACGCGGTACAAGTGCTGAGGCGTTCATATGAAAATCTTTCTCGCGACCGCCAGAAGGGTGTATTTGTACAGAGGTCGCTCG